GGTAGGTGTCGGTGTCGGGTCCGGGCGCGATCCACTTCTCGGGCGCGAGCGCGGGGCCGAAGGGGCGGTAGGCGGCGGGAGCGACGAACGCGAAGCTGCTCACGGTGGCCGTGCTGAAGAGCGTGTCGATGCTGCCGCAGCTGGCGCTGTGCGCTCGCACCACCCGCAGCGACGCGGGCGTGGGCGGCAGCGAGCCCCCGGGTGCGCCCTCGTCCTCGACGTCGCCGTCGGCGTCCGCGTCGCCCTGAGCGTCCTCCTCCTCGTCGCCGTCGCCGCGCCCCTTGCGGAACCAGCGGAAGAAGGAGAAGAAGCCGCTGGCCGCCTTCTCGCGCCGCTTGGCCGAGTGCGTGGGCGACGCCGGCACCACTGCGTCCTCCGCCGCCGTCGCGCCCGCGCCCGCGCGCCGGCTCATGCCATCGCCCGCGCCCGACGCCCCGCCCCCGCTCGCCGCGCGCTCCAGCGTCTCGATCTTGCGCTGGATGACCGCGCTGTACACGTCGCTGACGAGCCGGCTGTGGGGCGCGTGCGCGTCGTCACCGCCGCACTCGAAGAAGTCGTACAGGCTCTCCTCCTCGTCGGTGTCCGCCTCGTCCGCGTCGAACCACCGGAGGTCGCTGTAGTCGCCCGAGGTGCACGTGAAGAAAGTGCGGCCGCTGAGCACGCTCTTGAGGGAGCTGCCGCGCTCGTTGGCGTCCGGCAAACTCCGTCCTTCGTCCTCCTTTTCCTTTCCTTCTTCCTCCTCCTCTTCTTCCTCTTCCTGCAGCGCTCCCAGGCCGCCGGTGGGCGCGTTCGAGGACGAGGTGGGCCCGTTCGCGAGGGTGGGCGCGGGGGCGGTCGTGGGAGCGGGCGAGGGTGAGGGCGCGGGCGAGGGCTCCGGGCTGTCGCAGGGCTCCGGAATGACCGCGAGCGAGCTGCAGAGCGCTCCGCCCACCAGGCGCTTCCTTCTTCGCGCCGCGGGCCGCGGCCTCGCGCTCAGCGGCTGAAAGCAAGACGACACCGCAGTCAGCGCCGCCCCTCCGCGCCGGCCGGCCCTCAGCCCGCGGCAGCGCCACTGCCCCACATGCACCGCCCGCGCCCTCGAGCCACGCCCCCCGCGCCCTCTAGCGGCTTCCTGGGTGTTCGCGGGACGCCAAAATCACCGCATCCGTTTTAGGTTCAGTCAAAATATTTTTTTTTAACTTCCGGCACTCTCCTCTTCCAAGAAGAAGTACCCTCAAAAAAACAAATCCACCACCAATTTCTGGGGCTGGAATCAATCAAAATTCTCACTGTACTTCCTGTGTAAGGGGGCGAGCACCTTCTCAAAATGCTGCGAGTGACGTGTTTTCGAGAGTCACTTCGGAAATACGTCATGCAAACGGGGGCGTGCTTGGCTGTGCGGAGGCAGGGGTCGTCGGGTCCGAGAAGCGGCGGATCGCGCGGGAGCAGAGAGGCGCGCTTCCTTACTCAGAGGCCGTGGGTGTGCTGGGCGCGCGACGGCGAGTGTGTGTGTGTGGTCGGCCGCGGGGCGTCGTCGTCGTCGTCGTGGTCGTCGAGGAGGGCGCTGCCGCAGGCTGCGAACCGCGCGCGCGAGAGCACGCGCAAAACACACACACGGGCTCCGTCATGCGAGCCGCGCGAGGCACGGGACCAGGACCAGCACACACGCATTCACTGGGGCGCATCACAAAAGCACACACATGCATAAAAAAAAGCTAGTCGCGGATGAACAAAGAGTCATCGCAATTTGCAAATGCAATGTGACAGCTCCGCATCGAAGGTGTGGGCGGAACATGACACTGATTTTGTTTATATTCTCAATGTACAAAACAATTTTATTCTCTTCAGTTTTCACATCCATTTCACAGTTTTATGAAGCATGAGACATGTTGCACATCATATCAGAAGCAGCATAATACCAGGTTCATATGGTTTTGTAGTTTTATGGTTTCATGCCTGCATGCATGAGTATATGCACTCCACCGCTTATTTAAGTGATTATTAGGTAAAATTAATAATCCATTATCATTAATAGTAATGTATTAACATATTACCATTAATGGTAATAATCCTAATTAACCAAGACATAACTCATGATACTCAATTCACGTCATAATTCTAGGTAGCTTCACTGACTACACTATTCAAATTGACATTCAGTGCCTATTTTCTAGTGTTAAAATATCCACTTTCATTATTTATTTACTTGTGTAAATGTTTTTGCAGCAAAACAATACTTTTGCATCAGCATAAAAACGCGAAATTAAATTTGCCGAGTTCCAAACATCGCGAACTGCGAGAGCGCTCCGCCACCGCCGCCCGAAACATGCTGGAAAAGCTTCGCGCGAACATGGATT